TTGTCTAAGAAGATACCCAGGAAGGAAAAGTAGACATTCTTCCCAAAATAGCCAAACTGCAAGTACATGGACAACATAAATGTCCATATAAATTTAAAAAAATGAATTGTTTAAAGCCACTGATTTTGGGGGTGGTTGGTTGCCATGAAAGTCACCCCAATTTCAACAAGAAGGGTAATACCAGCCATCCCCTGCTGGGGTGTGTTAAGGTTCTAGAGAGCCAGTGGGACTAGAAATGGTGCTGTAGCCACTTGGAGAAGAGTGGCTGGTGTCCAGGGAGGCAGCTGAGGGCCAAGCCTGAAGACTAAGAGGGAAGTCCAAGTCGAGAGCTCTAGGCTGGATGGACAGCAAAGGGAGACATAGCATAACTTAGCTCAGAAAAAGACTGACCAAGAATAACGGCAGACGTTGTTGAATAGAAGCAGAATTAGCAAGTTTACAAGAGACTCCTAGACTTATTCATATAGCTGGACATGGAAGAATAAGGAAAACCATGAGGGATGAAGGGTGGAGGTGGGAAGGACAGTTCTTCAGCTGGTGGAAGCGTGGGCTTGGTAAGCAGCCCTGCAGAGGGGGCTGGACACACAGTGGCACAGAGGAGACCACCCCTGCTGTACTCACAGCAGGCATTGCACAGCAGAGAAGGGTTTGGTGGCCTTGGGCCTGCAACCTCCAAGGCTCATCTCTGCTAATAAAAGGCTTCTTAATAAAATTATTGGTTAGATCTACACCATACGATAGTTAAAAAAAAAATCGAGTCACAGAAGGAATACTGCCTGAGTTACATGAATTAGAAAGGGAGCTAGCTCTGAAAATTATTGTTATAAAAAATTCTTTCCCTTTCATGTGTTTTATACAATGGCTAGCTCTTGAGACCCCCATGCTATAAAAAGGGAGAAACCTTGCCCTCCCTTTCACACACACACATCCATTCAAACAGGCACTGAGGAGGATCGAAGAGGTGTCAGGCATCTGTGTTTGTTACTGATGAAGGCAGCATACATTGATAAAGCATTGTCTATGTTTGGGACACAGGCAAGTTCACCATTCAAAAAGAAAGCAACATAGAGCAGCAGATAATATGAATGGTCTAGCGTGTAATCTATAGCATACGATTGTACAATCTGCTGCTTTTCATATTATCCTATGTGAAATTATATGTGATAGAATATTTTTTATAATATCTTGCATATATACATGAAGGGGACAGGAAGTGCTCTGGGGTTATGGTGGACGATTGCGTGCATTCGCACCAAGCTCATGGCAACACGGGATCCCACACCTGGAATGGGGGCTGCTGGCTCCCTGTCACTATCCTTGTGCTGTTTCCCTGCATGTAGTAGCTTTCTAGTGTCCTTGTAACACATTACAGTACATTGTGTGGCACGCAACAGTGATGGTTTATTGTTCTCTCATGGTTCTGGAAGCTACGAGTTCAAAATCAAGGTGTTGCCACTTTCTATTCATGTATCTCTCTCGCAGCACCGTGGCTGCCCCTGCCCTTGACACCCTCTGGTGGCTCTCTGCCACCATCTTCTCCTGACATGATTCCCTGTATCCTGTGCCTCAATTTGCCTCTTCCAAGGATGCTGCCACTTGGGAGTCGACCCTAATCCACTATGACTTGATCAGAAGCGTGATTATATCTACGAAGATGTCATCTTTTACCAAATAAGGCCCATTCATCAATTCCAGGTAGATATGGATTTCGGGCAATACCACAGCCTTAGTCTGAGCCTTGGTGCCTCTCTCCATCCCTCTACCTTCAAGTGCTCATTGGATGAAAGATCATCTGGGCACACACATTATTCAGGCAGACACCTACCTGGTTCTATTGTGGCATTTTGTTTTGTTTTGTTTGGCCAGTCCTGGAGCTTGAACTCAGGGTCTGGGCAGTATTCCTGAGCCTCTTTGTGCTCCAGGCTAGCTCTTTGTGCTCTACCACTTGAGCCACAGCTCCACTTCTGGCTTTTTGTTTACTTGGAGATAAGAGTCTCATGGACTTTCCTACTTGGGCTGGCTTCAAACCGTGATCCTCAGATCTCCGCCTCCTGAGTAGCCGGGATGACAGGCATGAGCCAGTGGCACCTGGCTGCTCAGGTATCCTGAGTTACACTCAACCTATGAGTTTAACAAATGGTTCAGCAGGGCCACAAATGCCAAGGAAGACACAGGAAGAAAACATGGCCTTCAGAGCGGTGAAACACAGCAGAATCCCATTCCTCTTTATAAAGGGCCTTGGGCAAGTTTGCTTGTCAGGCCTAGCAGCCTAGTTTATGATGAGATTTGTAAGACATGTGAGAATGTAGGGGGCTATGGAAGACAGCACTCCCATGGACGGGAGAGAGAAAGTCTGCATGCAGTTCAAGGCCACACCATCTTGCTGTACCAGCAATGCGATCCGGGGAGAATCTTACCTCAGAGCAGATTCCAGGAAGAACAATTAAGAGGACCAGATATGAACGGGACCACCTGAGCTCCATCCTAGTTTCTTGGGCCAGTTCTTACTTCTTCTCTGTGCCTCAGTTTCCACATCTGTAAAGGATTCCACTTCACTGACCTAACGGGGGTGGAGGTCAGGTGAATGAGTTAGTAAGGTATGCAACTAACTTAAGACAATGCTTTACAGTACAAACACAAGCTATTACTATTACTACTGTTATTATAGGAAGTTCTTGCCCTGCTAAGGATCTTAACGATTTACTAAGTACCTCCTTCAATTCATTGTCCCCTGCGCCGCCACCACCACTACCAGAGTGTGAACAGGTTAACAGTCTGTGCATGTGGCTTTTTGGTTTTGTGTCCCCTTTTGAGCATTCTCTATTGGTCACATTACCACTGGCTCTGGATGAACTTCGTTGTTTGATCAGCACGCTGTAAAGGACCAAGGCTCCCATACCGATGGTGTTTTGGGGAGCCCTCACGCGTGGGCCAGCGTGACAGCTTGGGTCACTCCTAGGCTCAGTGGATGCATGGCCCTCTGGGCAGGGTCGTGATGGTGGTGAGTGCCTCGGCCACTCAGCCGTGGATCTGTCTCCGGTACACAGGGAGAGCTGAGGCCTGACGGGGAGCAGAGTTCTCGAATCACTCAGAGAGCAGTGAAACAACTACAATTTCATAGTAATGACCTGCGAGCAACACTGTGAAAGGCTCCACTTATCAGCCATACACCCGCGCCTCTGCTGGGAGCAATTTGCAAGGTGGGGGAGGCGGGGAAGCACAGGACTTCACTAATGTATGACAGAAGGAATCACAAACGCCACAGGCAAACAGACCCCAAGAGGGAGGATCATATGTTGTTTCCTCAAAAACAAAACAAAGCAAAAAAACCACACACAAAACCCCCCAAAAAACAAAGAACAACGATCCTTGTTCCTGCCTATTACAAGGGGAGATTCTTGCTACCTGAGCCTCCCCTGCCTGGACTCCTATACCTCAGCCTCCAGTAGAGGCCAGAGTTTCCACAGGAGCTAATACCAAGCAGAGGCTAGGCCCTGTGGGCCTTCTGTCCTCTAAGTGTCAGGTGCCAAGAAACCACTCAAGGGGAATAAATTATACAGAGACCATTGTTTCCCATTTTTTTTCTGTTTGAGTTTGTGTTTGCTTTGGAATGATTTCTTTCTACAGTCCACTCAGAGGGGTGCAGGAGACAGACTTGTCTTTCACATGTAAAAAAAAAAAACCCAACTATTTGGAAAGGCGATGAGGAGGAGGAGTGGCACTCATGCTGTGAGGAGTTGCTTGCTGTGCTCTTGTGGCACACACCCCCCCCGCACACCCCACACAAAGCCAGGCACCAGCTCCTTGAGGGAATGCAAACTTAAACCTCTGGTGCAATTCTCTCCAGTGCCTTGCACAAAACCAATAGCCAAATTATGTTTGCTGAATAAAAGGATAATTTAGTGAGTATATTACCCGACTCATTCAATTGTAATCTCTCCGTGTGTCACCTGTATCAGCACAATAAAGAAAATACTAATTAATAAAGGATAATTTAGCCAATTTGAAGTTTATGGACTCTGAAGTCCAAGTACTAACCAGAACGAAGTATCTGGGCTCTGCTGATGAGCCTAGATTCAGGGAAACGGGATCAAAGTGTGAGTTATCTGTACCCATGAGATCCTCATGGAGCAAGGGGAAGATGAAGGAAAACTACAGAGGGATGTATTTTGTCTAGGTACAGCCAAAGGCAAGCATTCCTAATTACTTAGAAAGTCCTGCAGAAGGGGAACCTTTGAGGCTGGACACAATTGCTTATACCTGTGCAAGTCTCAGCTTCTTAAGGAGGTGGAGATCGGGAAGATCACAGTCCACAGAGCCCAACTAAAACAAAAAATGTTAGTGAGATCCTCCTAACCAGCCAGGTATGGTGGTGTGTGCCCGTGACACTCAGGTATGGTGGTGTGTGCCCGTGACACGTGACACTCAGCCACTTACAAGGGTATTTTTTTTGCCAGCCACAGGCTAAAACATGTGAGACACTACCCGAAAAATCACTAAAGCATAAAAAGGCTGAAAGTGTGGTCAAAGTAGAGCACCTGCCCACTAAGCTTGACGCCCCGAATTCACGACCCCAGGGCCACCAAACAAAGCGCAAACCAAAAAACAACGGCAAAGGCTGCTTTGAGAGCTGCACCTACAATCCAGGAGAGACGCAGTAACAATTCAAGCATAGCCTAGAGGACTGGATGGAAGTAGAAGTCGGTGGCCAGCATCCTTAGCTCCAGTCTAGATGATGCTGGGGTGCGCTGGGGGCTGCACTATTACACTGGGGTTCGGTGTTTTCAGGAGTTTGCAATTCTGCAAAAGCTCCATGCATGAAACTCAAGTGTAGTCCAGTGATTGAGCCGCTTCACGGATCCACACAGTAAAAAACTCAGGGCCCCTTGCTTTGGAGGGAGGCCAGGCCATGGCTCTCTGTGACTGTGCTTGCGTGTTATCCTCCTGTGTTCTTTCTTGCTAGTGGGCAGCCACTGACCCGAGTGCTGCTTCTCTTTCAGGCTGGAATCGACGGAGAGAGCATTGGCAATTGTCCTTTCTCTCAGCGCCTCTTCATGATCCTCTGGCTGAAAGGCGTCGTGTTCAACGTCACCACCGTGGACCTGAAAAGGTAAAGGACATGGTGTTCACAAGGAAAATGTGTATGGATGGCCAGGCAAGTCCAGAGAGAGAGAGCAAGCCAGAACCGGCCTGTTGGCAATGTCCTGGGGAGTTTTTCTGGCCAAATGAGGCACCGTCCAGGGTGTCAGACCAGTGTCCCCCGTGTCCCCAGTGTCATGTTCCAGGACTCAAGCCACACAGACTGCTAAACCTAGAAGCCACGGGAAACTTCTGAAAATAAGATCGGCATAGGTTTCTTGGCTTTACAACCAACACAAGGCTGCTCCCTGCGGTTAAACACAGGAGCCAGGAAAGAATGTCCTTTCAGGGCATGAGAGGAGGGACGCGCTCAGAGTAAACAAAGGCACTAAGCAAATTAGATTTTAGAAATACTTTCTGTCTGGACTGTGTGAGTTCCAAGTGCCAAAGAATGTAAGCAAAGAGCCTTCCTTTTGGGGACCGCAGAAGAGCAACACCCTAATTGACATTCTTCTCGTCCCCTCCCCAACTGATTACGCCTGGAATTTGTTTCATTATAGCCGTCGCCACCTCTTTGTTGTTTTTTTTTCTCCTCTACTTCGTTACACTTCTTCCATCTTATATTTCCCACTCCAGCTCCCGCCAGGAACTTTGTCTGCTCAGAGAGGGCATTTGGAGTGACTTACATTCCAGCCCTTTCCATGGGAAGTTCCGCCGTTATTCCCCCTCTTCCTTCCTCTCTTTGCATTCTCCATCCTTCCTCTCCTGTCCAGGCACCTGGTGGGAGGCACCAGAGGACCATGCAGGGGCGCTCACAGAGCCCCTGTCCAACACCTGTCTTCTGCTGTGGTTGCGGAAGTCCCTCCCCCAAGTGGTCGGCTCATTGCCCAGCACAAATCAGGACTGCACTGGGCCTGGCTGTGGGTTCATAATGGAAGTCCCGTCAACTGATTGGCTGCATGGTCCTCATTTTCACCTCTTCAGTGTCAATGCTTTCTTCCCTAGAGAATATAAGACTTTTATGTCTCTTCCCTTGGGGGATAAACATGCACTGTTGCTTTGCTTATCTTACATTTCTTTCAGGATCTGACCCAGAATCCTACAGGCACACCAGGAAGACTCTATTTTTCTTAGGTGTTAGATTGGATACATATGCTCCATCTAACTGAGTCTACTGGTGCCAGCCAAGCTTTCCATAAAAATTAATTAATTAATTAATTAATTAAAATGCTGGGGTGCTAGTGGCTCACGCCTGTAATCCTAGCTACTCAGGAAGCTGAGATCTGAGGTTCTTGGTTCAAAGCCAGCCCAGGCAAGAAAGTCCATGAGACTCTTATTTCCAATTAACCAACAGAAAACCAGAAGTGATGCTGTGGCTCAAGTGGTATGGTAGAGTGTTCACCTTGAGCTGAAGAGCTCAGAGACAGCGCCCAGGCCCAGAGTTCAAGCCCCATGACTAACTAAGAAAAAAAAGTTATTGTTATTATAAAAGTGATATACAAGAGGGGTTTTTGTTATAAAATCAGGTAAACACACACACACACATACATTGAAAATAAGTACTATATTTGAGTCTTATTAGAAAACAGAAGACATATTTACTTGGAAAAACAGATTATTTGTAGCTTGAGATAACAACTAAGTCATTTAAAAGAAATGGGTACCGTTTCTGTTTCAGGAAAAGGTCCCAGTTTATGTACGTTTAACAGAAATCTAAAATATTTCAGGAAAAATAACTACGTTCTAGCAAGATTATCATAGTAGTCACATTTCAAGAATGATTATGTGTGCTTCGATTATCTTCAAAGTAGAAATCTGCAAAAGGTAGACTGCAGTGTTGACACTAGAGCAAGTGTCTGCCCACGGGTCCTCTCCACATGCACCTGACCGCAGCAGGCCTGGCCCAGGGATGAGGAACAATGAAACACTCACTTCACAGGTGTGGGTATCCCCAGCACCATCATCAACACACACCCCACAAAAGATTTCAAATTTTGATCAAAATTCGAAGTTTCTAGCAACGTTAGACCAACTCTTCATCTATTCTGAAGCTAAAATCCCTTTTTTTGGGGGGGAGGGGCGGTCCGGTCGTGGGGCCTGAACTCTGGGACTGGGCGCTGTCCCTCAGCTCTTCAGCTCAAGGCTAGCACTCTACCACTTGAGCCACAGCGCCACTTCCGGCTTTTTTCTTTTTGCTATGTGGTGCTGAGGAATGGAACCCAGGGCCTCAGGCATGCAAGGCAAGCGCTCTACCACTGAGCCACCTTCCCAGCCCACTTCTTTTTTTTAAGTCAAAATGTAGGGATTGATTATGTAAATCACTAAAAGCGTTTACCCACTGACAGCTTCGTACATGGCCACATGCTTCCACAGCCACCTCCTTGTAGACGGTGGCTCCCATGGCTTCTCTTAGATACCTTCTCAGCCATCACAGCAAATTCTCCATGCAGAACCCTTAGCCGTAGCAAGAAGCATTGTACCCGTAACCTGACTTGTGGGATTGTAACCCCTTTGTGGGACAACATAACAATAATAATAATAAATCCTTCATCATTGCCTATCTGCTGTCCATTGAATACAGCACTGAACTTGGGCCTGTCAGACATAAGTCATAAATTTTCACCAAGGACCATGTTCAAACTTTAGCAATAAAACTCTTTCTGAATATACCATCTCTTAGTTTTTTAAAAATTTTAAGTTTCCTTTTTGAGCCACTTTCTTCTTCTTTTTTTTTTTTGTCGGTTGTGGGTCTTGAACTCTGGGCCTGGGCGCTGTCCCTCAGCTCTTCAGCTCAAGGCGAGCACTCTACCACTTGAGCTAAGTGCCACTTCCGGTTTTCTGGTGGTTTATTGGAGATAGGAGTCTCATGGTCTCTCCTGCCCGGGCTGGCTTTGAACCGAGATCCTCAGATCTCAGCCTCCTGAGTAGCTAGGTTTACAGGTGTGAGCCACCAGCGCCCGGCTTGAGCCACTTTCTTAAAAACAATCTAACTCATTCCTCTTTAAAGCTTGGAATGATCTATAGCAGACTTTTGTCAAGCTAGTAAGTGGAAAAGCTTTTGGAGGCAGAGTCCAGCTGCTCTTCTGTGTAGTCGGAGCTGGGAGCAGATCCATGTGATCTGTGATTCCTCCACCTTCCCAGAGAGCTCAGCTCCCCCTTGGCTCCTTCCTCTCCCACTGAAGTCCACTCGATGCATTTCCTGTGCCGTGGGCCCTTTCTCCAGCCTCCTCGTCTCTGCATGGCCCAGCAGAAATCTGCTTTAGTGTGGAGAGTCTAATTTATAATAAATCCTAGGTTTCTCACAACAGGAAGCTTCCTGGTGTTCATAACACCTGAATCTTGCTCTCCCTGCAGAAAGCCAGCTGACCTGCACAACCTTGCCCCTGGCACCCACCCGCCTTTCCTGACCTTCAACGGGGAAGTAAAGACCGACGTCAATAAGATCGAGGAGTTCCTGGAGGAGACCCTGACTCCTGAAAAGTAATGAACTTCTTCTTTTGGGAACTAGTGAGTGGGAGGGGGTGAACCCAGAGAAACCAGATTTCCAGAGGCGGTTTCTCCATCCAGAGCCGGGGCCCTGCGTGCAAATACACAGTGTTTGATGATCTCAGACTGAGTCCTGTAGATAGACCCACACATAGCCATAGCCTGTGGAGGGGACAGTTGGTCCAGCCCTCGTAGAGTGACTTGAGCCCCAAGGAAGTTACCACCCCGCCCTCACCCCAGTTTACTGGAAGACCTTAGAGTCAGGCAAAGAAAGGTCCCTGGTTTTAGAACAAGAGGCAAATGTCAGATGCAATAACACAGCCAGGAAAGGGACACAGGCCTGAAACCACACCGAGAGTCATGCATCTGATTCAGGCACAATTCAACGGGAGAACCTGACGGGAAGCACTTCCTCTTGTGAAATCACGTGACATGGGGCCGAGGGGGCTGTGCTCATAGCAGAGAGTTGTAAGTTTTTGTTGGAGAGAAAAGAAAGGAGAAGGATGGACCTCAAATTTGCAGGGGCTAGGCTTGTGCACTGTAGACTATTGTCATTGGAGATGACAGCAAGCATACTTTTATAAAAACACTAAAAATAACAATATTGGATGAACTGGGTCTGGGAAGGTAAATAGCATGAGGGACAGGAAACATGGAGGTGGAGAAATCAATCAGAAGGAGCCAGGCAAGACCAAATGATGGACTGGGCTAAGCTAGTGGCTGGACAATTGGAGAGATGAATGAGAAAGATTCAGGGTTTACTTAGCCCCCCAAACTCAGTGAAATGTGACAACTGAAAATGACCATCTTGTATTCGTATTGAAGTGTTGATTTGTCCACACACATAGCCCATGCACACACACAGGTCTATTAGAACAATTAGAACATGGCCGCCAAGACTCGCTGTGATCCTTACTGCAGCTCTGAGAAGTAGATGACACCTTGTGTTGCAGTCAGACATGACAAGATGTCGTGACTTATCCAAGACTTCAATGAAGAAAACCCAGGCTCCCATTGTGTTCGGAGTGACCTCCCAGACAGCCCCCCCCCTTTAAGAATACTCGTTGTCATCCACATTGGGACTGGACCAGTCCCTCCTCTGCCCCTGACAGGAGCCGTGGCCCTCCTTCCTGCCCCCTTCCCCAGCCCAGTTCCCCACGCACACTTTAACCAGCTTCCTCACGCTTTCTCCCCCCAATCTGGCTCTGCAAGGCCCCTCGCCGGTGATTCCTTCCTTTCTTTTTTTTTTTTTTCTTGTCAGTTGTGGGGCCTGAACTCTGGGCCTGGGCGCCGTCCCTCAGCTCTTCTGCTCAAGGCTAGTGCTCTACCACTTGAGCCACAGCACCACTTCTGGCTTGTTCTGTGTATGTGGTGCTAAGGAATCGAACCCAGGGTCTCATGCATACGAGGCACACACTCTACCACTGAGCCACCTTCCCAGCCCCCAGGCAGTTTCTTTAAGGTACCCAGAGGGGGCCCAGGCCCCCCCCAGAACTGTGTCACGCATACCATTGGACCTTGTTTCTGAAGACCATCGTTTTCGGGTTCATCATCCTGGAAACGTGGTTTCATAATCCAGGCGGGGGAGGCAGCATGGTGGGCTGTAGTCTGGCCTTCCTCTCCTCCACCTCCACCCGGCTCACCTGTCCTGATCTCGGCTGCTGCCCGTCAGGCGCTTCTCCAGACTGTGGTGGAATGTAGGAGGGTGACAAAGCCCGTTCCTACCCTGCTGGGAACCCCACGATCCATCGTTGGGCAGCAGAACCCCAAAAATGGTAAATGCACATCTCCAGAAGTCAGCTAAGACGGGGGGGGCCAGTGGTGAGACCATCATCCACCTTTGCCTTCTAGAATGTTCTTAGATGACTCTGAGTACTTCCGCTAGGGACACATGTTGCAGATACTTCCCAGGAAGCGTCAACGAGTGTCACCGTCTTGCCCTGCCCTGGATACCCACCTGTCTGTCCACACCACAGCCTCGGCTGCCCTCCCCCAGAACCGGGCTGGGAGGCGTGTGGCCCGAGCTCAGAGGCCCCGGAGCGGTGCAGTCCGTCCAGCCTTCTTGGTCTCTCGGGGGCAGCCGCCTTCCCCATGACCATTCCTGGCTGCTGTTCGCCGTGTGTTTCTAATCAGCATGCCAGAATGCCAAGACATTGCGGGAGCCCTTGTGTCCCCTTACCTTATTATTTTTTTTATTTAAGGAGAAAACCACACGCAAACACTCCAACCCTTTTTTATGTTTAAAACCTGCCTGATTGCACAGAGCACTTAGTGTCAACATGAGACACCCAGGAAATGTCATTTATTTTCTAAGCTAGATGTTTGTCCATCTGGGCATTGTCTCATCTCTAAAATGAAGGGCTGACCCCGGCCCCAGTTCTCTGATCCCCTGAGTTTCCCAAAGCTCTCTCCAGAGCTGCCTGCTGCTTAAACTAATCCTAGAGTAGCGATCCTTGGATTAAAAACTCAGGAAGCCAAGTCACCGGGCATGCGTGAATCACCACCCGGTGTTCAAGTCCATGCCACTAGGTGGCGCTCTGCCACAGTGACAAACCAGCTGCACAACCTCAGGGGCTGAACAGAATATTTCCCGCTTGAGGGCAATCTGCCTGGGTGGTGCGGTCTGTCCTCTTCTGTCTTCAAGCTACACTTGATGAACTTCTGAGGACCGTGTCAATGACTGTATCTCTGAAATTGAATAGATACTTACTATGGGGTCCTAGCCTGGACCCATTGGGGTCCAATCCTAGTTGATGGGCCAGTTGAAGAAAAGAAAAGAAGAAAAGAATAGCAAAGAGTCCAGGCATGGTAGCTTTTGTCTATAATCCGAGCTAGGCAAGAGACATGGATGGAGGAGGATCAGTGTCCTAGCCTGGCCAGAACATGAGCTCTTAATCTGAAAGCCAAAAGTAAAAAGGTCTAGTGGCCCGGCTCAAGTGGTAGAGCACCTGCTAGCAAGCACAAGGCCCTGAGTTCAAAATCTCAGCACCACCAAAGGCAACAAGTGGTTTTTTTGGAAAGCCTTTCGTTTTTGGTTCAAAGCATTAAAAGAACAAAGTGTTCCACCCTTTAAACATGAAGCAAAGAAACGGCTCTCACTGGCAAACTATTGCCCTTAGATTATTTGGTAATGATGATAACCAGGCCAGTGTCTCCTATCTCTGCTCTTCCTCCCTGGCCACACATGTAACACGTTTGTGTAACAGCATCTTTTTAAAGCTAGAATGGTTTATGCCAATGATGCTGCGGGGTCGGAGCGTGGAGTCCACACAGACAGGTTTACCTTGATCTCCAGGCCAGCTGCCCACCGGGACGTTTCTCTGCAGCATTCAGGTGTTCTCATGGGGCCGGGGGAGCCTCAGAACCTCTGTGTCAATATTTAAATGAGCACCTTTCCATTGGTGCATCATTGTTGGACCCCGAACCCTTTGAGTGACATACTGGTTCTTTACCCAACAGACCATGTTACTCCCAAACAACTCTTAGCACCTCACCAGGTTTGTGAGCAAGGGTTGCTGCGTGCCCCCCTGGCCCCAGGAGGATGCTGGGAAAACCCAAACAGTGGGTAGATCCAGCTAGAAAGGGAGGTGGTTACTGTTCATTCACTGAGATGGGGGTCAGGCTGAGGGAGCCCCAAGTCTCCCTGTACCCAGAACACTGTGCCTTCCTTCCAGGTACCCCAAACTGGCTGCCAAACACCGGGAGTCCAACACGGCAGGCATCGACATCTTCTCCAAGTTCTCTGCCTACATCAAAAACACCAAGCAGCAGAACAACGCCGGTGAGTGGCTCCTCCCACCGAGAGACGGGAGCAGGGCCTGCTTCTTGGGCATCTTCAGTCTGCCCATGGGTGTGTCAGACCCTTAGGCCCAGAGAAGCATCTGGGCTGCTTGTTATTCAGTCAACCCTAAGGACCCCAACTATGGGGGGGGGAGACCCAGATCCTGCTGCCTGGCTAGTGCAGGCAGAGAGGCCTGTGGGTCTTGTTGCTGACTGGAGGGAAGGATGTGATGTGTCTGTGGCAGCTGCCATCTGGGGCAGCTCAGTGCGCTGCCCGGGAGAGCCCTGAGAGCCGCCGGCTTGTCCTGAATGTGTGGTCCTGCTCGCATTCACATGGGAGCGTGCATTCCCACTTCCTTCGGTCTATGTGGGATTCCTCAGGGGTCTCTCCAGAAGCTACAGAGGGAGCAACATCAATGCTAAAGGTTTGGTCAAGTGAGGGGTCAGAAGTGCGTGTTTAATCACAGTCAGGGACTCTGGGAGCCTGGGCTGTGTGGAGGGTGACCCGAGACGCAGAATCGTTCGTGACTACTGATGCTGAAATCACCCGAAGCCCCCACCCCCAGAGAAAAGGAAGAAGAAGAAGATGATGATGATAGAGGAGGCACATATGGCTTAATCAAAGCTGTGCTGGAGTCGATGAATTGCCAAGTGAAAGGAAAACCAGTTCCTGTCCCAAAAGAGTTGGAACAGGAAGATTTTCCACGCAGGCCTTGGAGCAAGCTTCTCGAAGGCGTTTCAACTTGAGCACCAAGACTAAGGGGGAATCAGTTAGCCGAGCTCACAGAGCGCAGGGTGGAAGAGGACGGGGCCTGGAGGAGCATCCTGGGGCGAGGATCATCCGTGGCCACCGGTGGGGGTTGAGGGTCACGGAGGGTGATGCTCGCGGACAAGCAGCAGCGTGGGGGAAATATTTGAAATAGGTGTGTGTTCTTGCTTCAACGCTGTTTGGGATTCAAAGCTATTGGGATTGCCCTCACTCCATCTGAGTTCAAATCCCCCCACCCCCACCCTGGGGTCTCCAAATAGGGCCTCCTTTGGGAATGGTGTTTTCACAGAGGAAACTAGTCCAGGGTCTCCTCCTGGACTACAAGTCCAGCAACTGGGCACCTCATAAGGCAAGAAGAAGAGGAAGTAGAGGAGGAAGGCCAGTCCAGAGATGGAGGTGGAAGCTGGGACAGGGAACCCCCAACTTCCCCCAAATGAAAAGAGACAGAAGAGCTCCTCTTGTCCTTGGGATTTCTGTTCCCCAGACCAGAGGGGGAAAGGTGGATTGTTGTAAGCCACGTGGCTGGTGGGATGGGGTGGCCACAGCCCCAGGCTCTTTCTGTGTCCATCAGTGCATCCATCCAGGGAAAGAGCAGCTCCTGCCTCTCTAGTCCTGTCCTAGGGGAGGACCGGGGCCTGGCCGTGCTAAGCAGGCGCTGTGTGCCCTGGCTTCCAGAGTCCACAGCGTCTCAGCTCAACCACAGACATCTCCCTTCATACTTGTCACGGTTTCCCTTGGAACCATCATCTCATTTGAGCCTTCCAGGTTTTTTACATTAGAAATGGCATTCCCATGTTGTGCCGATTTACAGTTCCCTTACTCCCCAAAGCCAAAGCCACAGTTTTCATGACATAGGGCGGATCGATTTCCTATAAACTCAACACTTTGCGCGCCTCATTGTTTCCCTTCTCCGGTTTCACGGTTTTCTCTCTGTAGCGGGTCTCGTCCTTGGGAAGCCCTCTTCCCCTCACCCATGAGGACAGTTCAGAGCTCGGGCCTTTCTGCTCGCCGCATGTGAGCCCCTGCCCCGTAAGTGCTGTTCTTACCCGCCCTCCTTTCAACAAGATCCCTCTCTGTGGCTCTACCGTGCCGCCCCCTGTACCTATCAGTTGTGGCTTCAGGGTCCCAAACTCCTGAGGCTCAGCAGGCCAGAGGCCAAGGCTTCCTCCAGCAGAGTCGGGCAGGGCTCCCGTGAGGACCCCAGCCCACACAGGACACGGACCCCAGGAGATGGGTCATGGCCCTCTCTGCCTTGCCAGAGCTCCAAACACAGCGGGTGGCCCTTTTGGAGAGGACTAAAGCAAAACAGGCATGGCCAGGAAGTCAGGGTGGAGAAAAATGTTATTATCTAAGCCCGGCGCCGGTGGCTCACACCTGTAATCCTAGCTACTCAGGAGGCTGAGATCTGAGGACTACGGTTCAAGGCCAGCCTGGGCAGAAAATGTCCATAGACTCCTATATCCAATAAACTACTCAGAAAAAGCGAGATGTGGCATTGTGGCTCAAGTGGTAGAGCACTAGCCTTGAGCACAGAGAGGTTCATATGTATAGTATGTATATCTATATCTATATATCTTAATATCTTACAACAGGTAAGAGCATGGGAATGATTTCCAAAGCAGGGGATGAAAAATGTCAGTGTGAGCCTAAACTTACACACACACACACATTATTGAGTGTATTTGCCTTAAGGTCATAGTTCAAGAAGGAAAGAGGGTGGGCATGTATGTGCACTTATAAGAGCTGTGGATCCCTTCTGTTGTTTTTGACCTCTCTCTCCAACAAGAAAAGCTCGTGTCATTCACACAGCCTGAGTGTGACCACAGTGGCCAGGCAGAGGGATGGGGAGGAGCTAAGCCCCCCTTGGCACATCCTGTGAGACCCCCTCCCCCCAGACTTGACGGTCACTCTGCCTTCAACCCTGCTCGGTTCACACAGCCTGGCCACAGGGCAGAGCCCAGCCGAGGCCTGCGCCTCCGCCATCTCTAGCATCCTCCATCTTCACTGCCAGGCGTGAAAGGTCCTTCACCTCCAGCCTCTCTCCCTCACCGTCCCCAGGACTCCAGGCCGCTCAGACCCAGCAGTTCTGCTTTTTCCTGGCTTCCATGCTACGCATTTGCTCTGCCTGGGACCTCCGTTTGGCTCCCTGGAGGGTTTTCTTTTACCCCCTCATTTTCGTATGCCCCCTGCAGCCTGTCATCTCCCGAGAGGATCTAGGCTTACCCCGGCCTTGCAGGCCTCACCCTCAAACTGCCGTAGAACAGACCTGGAACCCCCTCTTCCCCCCGCTAGGACGCCTAGCTTCCAAGAGACTGGCTCAGTCGACTTAATGTAGGCATGCATCGTATCTTACGCCACTTTTCGCAATCTCTCACTTCCTTCCCTCCATCCTATCAGGGTTTGGGGGGAACGTATCTCGTGTTTCATACAGATTGTGAGTTCCAGGCCATTCGCAAAATGGATCGTATGTGCATGTTGTGCTCTATGCGTGTGCGTGTGCAAGTCTCCGTTCATTTCTTCTGGCCCTGTCACATTTCCCTCTCTCATACGGTTGCCATTCCTGCCCCAAATACGATCCTTGTTTTTGGTAAAAGTGTCATATTCTCATGCGAATCCCCCCAACTGTCCATCTGACTGGCAAGGAAGGGGTGTGTGTATGTGTTGGACTTTTAAAATAAGCATTCAGAATGTCTCCTACTTGAGTAACACTTGCCATCTTGTATCCCTCCTCTCCACTGAGGAGGGAGTTGTGATCCCAACTTTTTCATGCTGTATGCAGAGACCACGTGACTGTGTGTGAGCTTCTCAGGCGGCCAGGACCCCACATTCCTGCACTGAACCTGCGTTTCACCATCTGGGGGATTTTGCTCTCTCCAGGCTCCCCCTGAATGCCCTCTCCTCTTCCTGCTCCCAGTGCATTTTCTCTCTTATTTCCACTTTCAGATTCTTCTTTCTCATGTGTGTTGGGGGGGGGGGCAGGCAGGGGAGAGCTTTCTTTCCATTTTAATTTCTATGCCACTTGTTCCAGAAAACTTTATAGTTCCTCCCAGGGAGGTCTGCAGCGCAGCAAAGCAGCACCCCACTTGAGTGAGGTGAGTAAGAAAAACAGAGAAAGAACCATAAAATGCGACGGTGGGGCTGGGCGTCCAGAACCAGCCACTTGGCGCTGCACGGCTTGACACGCAGGCCGGGCCACCTGGGCAGCTGTATAGTGTCAAGCAGACAGGAAAAAAAATAGAACCCACCCACCCCCAGTTAGCCAACAGCTCGGTTCTTCCAGAGATCAGAACAAACCACCCTCCCAGAAGAATACCAAAGGGCCCAGAGGAGCTGCTGTTGCCATTTTCTTGGGCCCTTCCATTCGGCGACTTCCAGCCTGCTGCAGACCCCAGGCTGGACGGGCTGCGGCCTTCAGTGCCTTTGCTCCATCTCTGCCTTGTGGAGGCCCCAGCCCCCTCAGGCCTCAGGGTCAAGCCCCTCCCACCTCTCTCCTCTGCCTGCTTCTGTCTCCGCCTTCTCTTGAAGACCCATGAGCCCTTGCTGCATCCTCAGCTCCCAGTCCCAAGTTTCCCCCAACAGACCCTAGGCTGCCCTAACGTCCTCTTTCTAAAAGACTTGGCCTTGTGAAGCGCTTCCGTCTTTCTGAATGAAGTCCTAAAAAGCCCTCTTCCAGCCTGCAATGGGTTGTATACAGGGTGATGCGTTTGGGGTGCACGGACCCTTCCCTGGGGAATGCTTGGCTCCCAGTGATTTCCTCCAGTTGACCATAACCGAGCAGGCACTAGTTTCCACATTGAAAACCCGATGTCTGCTGAAAAGAATAAAGTGATAGGAAGTAGGTGCAGTCTCAGAAAGCTCAGGAAACAGGTTTGAACCCCCTTCCCACCACCACAAAGCACTCGGTGGGGCTAAGCTTTCTGCCTGTTAATCCTCTCCCAGCTTCGGCCAGCCCGGCCCGCCACTGAGGGCCCTGCCGGAGAGGCCATTCACCCTGAAGGCCCAGGAGCACTCCAGCGTGTTGCCAGAGATCGTTCTGAGAAAATCAGAACAGAGAGAGAAGATACCCTTGTGTGCGAGGCCTCAGGACCCCGTCCCGTAACCCATAGGTCTTCCCACTCCATGGGGTTGTGCTGGAAGTTTCTATCATGTACTCATCTTACTATCATGGCAACCGCCACGATGTATCTCTCTTTCCCCTTCTAAAGCCCACATGGAAGCCCACAAAGGCCAAG